TATGCATTGGGAGTGGAAAAATTGTCCGGTGGCATGGCACGGACAATATGCTAGAGGGGACTATAAAACTCCAACTATTATGTTAGAAGCAGTTGCTTCACAAGATTTGTGGATATGACATGTTTTTTTTGGGCTTCCAGGCACATTAAATGATATCAATGTGTTAGATCGATCTCTCATCTTCCATGAGGTCTTAGAAGGGAAAGCACCAGAGGTAAATTTCTCTGTTAATGGTAACCACTATAGTTTAGGATACTACCTTGCAGATGGAATCTACCCTAACTGGGCTACGTTTGTGAAATCCATCCCATTGCCCCAAAGTCAAAAACATCAGTTATTTGCAAAAAAAAAAAAATCAGCTAGGAAAGATGTAGAAAGAGCGTTTGGCGTATTACAATCACGATTTGCCATAGTTAGAGGTCCATCACGGATGTGGTTCAAGGAAATAATCGGAGAAATATTACGAGCTTGCATAATAATGCACAACATGATTGTCGAAGATGAATGTGACTCATACATTCGTCAATTTGATTTCACAGATGATGCTAATTTCAGTATATCTATGCCTGAAGTTTCTCGAAATCATCTTCCTGAGTATGAAAATTATCTTCGAAGTCATGCAAGAATACTTAACAGGACTCACAACAATCAATTACAAGCGGATTTGGTTGAGGAGATTTGGAGCCGATTTCAAGGAGAAGAAAACAATGATTGATATAACGTTTTATTTCTATCTATATGTAATATTTTTAATTCRATAAATGTTGTGTTTTGATATGATTTAATAAATTAATGTTTCAAATTTAAAATAATAAATTATATAATTATTATATTMTATTATATCATATATTAATCGTTTTAATTAACATTGAATTAAAATAAAACATGTTATTAATTAAAAAATAATTAGAATGTATATATAAATAATTTATAAAATAGTTAATAAATATTGTAGTGATGACCATTTTTGAAAGTGTAGATGAATTGCATGTGTGTAGGTGGTAATTATAAAAACTGACCTGACACAATTAAACATGTTGTTGTAGATGAATTATAGATGTGTGGAAGATAATTATAAAAACTGATATGACATAATTGAAAGTGTAAATGGATTGCATGGATGAAGATGGTGTCAGTGTACCAACTCCAACCCTGCTTGTAGGTAGTCAATTGTCGTCAATCCTTTTCACGATCAACTTCGTCCTCAAAAATCTGCTAAACGAAACAAGGATTTTTCTCGCAGGGGAAAATGGGGCATGGAGGTTCGAAATCAAGCTCGTCAGATGAGTCTGCAGACGGCGGTGGTTCAGATTCAAAATCACGACCGTCGTACCGCGAGAGAATCAAACAGAAATTCCACCTCCACCGTCCTCCCACCACTTCCCAGCATTCTAACCTCATCGATCACGACCATTTCGCCGGCATCGCTTTGGTCACTCTCAAAAGTGTAAGATTTTGATTCTCTACTACATTGCTACTAGTAGTATGCTGTGAGAAACTTTTATTATTCATTTAGGCGGAAATGAAGTTCAAGGACAAGTGGCTTGCTTGTATTTCAATTGGAGAACAGACGTTTCGCACTCAAGTTTCTGACCAGTTAAGTAGAGAATTTCTGTTGTTATGTTTTCAGTAGCATTTCTCAAACTGAATACAATGTGTAATTATCTGAAACAAATTACATGTTTATGCATTTGGGTTTTTATTTATTTAATGAAGAGCTTTCGGAGAAATGTGTATAAGATTTGATCTTGAAAGCTTTATATCTAGATCCTTCAAAGAACTGTAGCTGCTACAACTTAACCATACAACCCTTTGAGCGATGGCAAAAGGAAGGAAAATCCATGGGCTGACCCCATCATCTCCACCCCGTAGGAACTAAGGATGGAAAGGAAGCCAGTCGCAAACATCTGTTTTTATGAGACCTAATTAGTATCACAAAGAAAAGATAATCACCTCAACAAGGACTGGGTAGTTGGTTAGTAGGAAACTATAATAAGAAAGAGAAGACAGTTCTTTGGTTGGTAGACTTTGGCTATATGTAATGGTTTAACAATCAATGATTGTATCATTGTTTTACTTACTCTAATAACCTTCTAACCTAAATTGGTCCACAAGCAAATACGAGTTCGTCTTTGTGCCTTTCTCCATTCATCTAGTTAAAATTGGCTCCATTTACTTTCTCACCAATCACATTTTGTCCAAGACCCTTACAGATTCTAATGTGTTTCTCTGAAACCCCAACTTAGCATTTTGACTACCCTTTTCAAATTTGAATAAAGAGATGTCATACAGAAATAGCAAAGACCGCCTCATCTATAATGCTCTTACATATTCTTCCAAGATGCTTCAGCTGCATCCTGTTACATGTATTTTTCTCTTTAATTCTTCTTTCCTAGCTTCAACATTCAGAGAACATGTTAAGTGTTTTCTGTATGCCATTCAGTATGTAAAGTAAGTCAGGTGAAAAAGGATGCTATAGAATTCTTTTTCAAACTCATAGCAATCTGGATTACTGAATTCAGGTTGCCTCGAATTACTGAAAAAATTAATATGCAGCAAGGAGAAGAACTTTCTCCCTTCGACCATTGAATATTTTTTACTAGAAATGACGAATTCACTGGAACTCATGTTGTTAGCTTCCGTAATTTCCAATTTTGAGGACGTGAAGGATGTACTCATGGTCTGAGTTTGTACCTTTCTGTCAGATATGTTTTTTCATTGTTACTCGGAGCAGATCTTAATTTGCTCGTAAATGTTAAAAGTAGTTTCTTCTATCGTACCTATTATTTTACTTATACCTACTACCCTTGGATAATGTGCAGGACCAACAATCCTGAATGGAACTCAGTGAGTGAATCTCTATCCATTATTTTTTGAGTTTCTTTCTACGTCAGCTCTACGTGAGGCTTTGTATGCCTTTCCTTTACGTTTAAGACAACCATTTAGGAATTTTTATAGGTTGAATAGCTTAATGTACTCAACCGTAGGCAACTTCACAGGATCTATTTTTAAAATCTTTCCGTTATCTTTGGAGTTTGCTATTTTACTACACCCATCGTTGATGAGTTGTTTCTTTTCTATAAAAATCCCTAGAAGATGGATTTGGATGGATATAACTGCAGCTTAGAGGTCAAAATCTGTCATAACCGTAATTTAGTCACCTCTGTGTAACTAAGAATGTATGCCCGGTTTATATGATACTGCATCATCTTTTGAGCTTTACACAAAACTGATTGATTCTACATTTTTTGCCAGTCATGCTGTGCTTTACTTGATTTAACATTGACATTTCGCAATTAATTGAGATCTTTTGGTGTTTCAGTAACTTCCTTGATTAGTTGTTGGGTGGAAGCTTTTATGATTTGATTTTAGTTGTTCTCTTCTCTGTGTATAACTGATGAGAAATATAGTATTATTCATAAAGATAATGTGTGTGCTAGGGTTACAATGATTAAAAAATCCGGGCCTATTACACACAATGACATCACATTCCTTGGTTCTTCTGCAGGAGAAAAAGTTTCTTGTGGAAAAGAATGGGCCACACCTCGCTAGAGTATCAGTTTTTGAGGTTTGTAACAATTGAACTTGAATTCTATATTACAATGAGGCCAAGGGTTGCCATGCAAGGTTTTTGTGTTTTCTTTTTTATTACGTAATATCTTATTCTATTACAAGGAAGTTTCAATATCTATTACACTAAATGACCAAGAATATAGTCATTATGGCTTTGTCAATTGTTGCCAAAGAGATAGATGTAGTACTAACATTCATGCGTATAGCACATCTTATAAATATAAGAATTGGTTATAAATTGATAAAGTGCTTATCCAAATCATAGTTAGTCTAAAGGACCTAGCCTTAGGAGAGCATGGTAGATGTCTACTCCTTTCACGAGCTCGAAGGTTGGTTTAATGTTTATAATTTGATAGGTATGTTGGTTCCACTAGATCTCCTCCCTTTGTTGGCAAGTTGCATATGCTATAAGATGGAGCTAGATTACCCCACTATGTGGATTACACTGTTGTGCCAATAGCCAACATTCACATGGATCAGGGTAGGTCTTGTGGTTTTTCATGCTTAGGGAGAAAGGTTAAAAATTGCTTCGATTATATTAACTAGCAAACAACACATACCATTTTTAAGGGGTTTGCTGCTCTTCTTGAACATTTGATCGACATTGTTGAATGTAACACCCTAACTTCCACATATTTGCATATAACATGTACTTCATATAAAAGAAATACAATTTACACCACAAAGGTCCCACTAGTACAAGGGTTCAATATATACAAAATTTACAACTGAAAAATTCCAAAAGAATATCCCTCTACTATCACATGTATGTCAACATGTATCTTCAAAATATAACAGGCAACAGGTTGATCTTCAAAAGGCAGATAAACACATTAAGGAAAATAATCATATTTTCCCCTTCCTCTTAATATCCCGAGACCCCGCTTTCAAAATACAAAGTGAGGGTTAGACCGGAAGGTCTAGTGAGAAAATCCCTTCTTTGCAATTACAGGGTGAAGATCACCAAATCATTTTTAGAACATCTTTTGCGAATAGATAAATAAATTTCAGCAAATCATGATTAAACACATCTTTTGTGAAGTTCTCACTGGCTCATTGCGAGTTAACATATCTATTTTAATAGTTTATGTGGATGCCATTATCTTCACATGTAATGATCGTGGAGACATCATTGGTCTCAAGAAGATGTTGGCACAAGAGTTTGAAATCAAACACTTTTGAAGTCTAAGATACTTTTTGGGCCAATCCAAAGAGGAGATAGTCATATCTCAGAGAAAGTATATTCTTGACTTACTAAAGCAACCAAAAATACTTGGAAGTAAGTCTGCTGGTACACCTATGGACTTAAACCATAGACAAAAAAGGAGCATGGAAGAAATCCGAGTTGATAAAGGAAGATATCGGAGGCTTGTAGGTAAACTAATCTATCTATCTCATATGAGATCAGATATTGCCTATGTAGTATGGAACATTTGGAAGTAGTAAATAGTAACGAATCCTGAGTATCTGAAATCAAACCAGCTTAGGATCGAGACTAATATTTAAGAAATCATCAAATCGCAAGCTAGAGGTGTACAATTATGCTAGCTGGCCGAGAAGCTCACTGATAGAAGATCCAGATCTACTAGCGGTTATTGCTCATTTGTTTGGGGAAATTTGGTGAGCAAAAAGCAGATGGTAGTATCCAGAAGCCGTGTTGAATTTGAATACCGAGCATCGACTCTTGGTTTATGTGAAGGAATGTGATTCTAAGACTATTAAGCGAGTTCAAAGTAGAGGGAGATGGCACAATTGCAATGCTAAGTGACGATGAAGCAACTATCAAGTATCAACATTGCAAACAATCCTATGCATCATGACTTAACCAAACATATTGAAATTGATTTACACTTCATTTCAGAATGGGTTAACATCGGTTATGTGGAGCTGACTCACATTCCTTCATGACTACAAATTGTAGATGTACTTACCATAGCTCTTCCAATATCAACTTTTGAAGAGCTTAACTCTAAGCTTGTTTTGTATAATATATACAACCCAACTATAGGGGAGTGTAGAATTATAAATTAAGCAGGAAACCTTTTGTATATGTTAGAATATATTGTAAATATTATGTCTGTTTAGGGTTTCTGATGGGCCGTACGGGCCTTTGCTTATTTGGGTTTGGGTTTCTTATTTGTGTATATATATATACACGCCTCTCCTTTGTAATTAATTATTCAGTAAATAAGAATACTTCTTCTCTCTGTCCCTCTGATCACATGGTATTAGAGCCACTCTGAAAACCTCCTGCCGTCGTCGCCGGAACCCTAGCCGACTTCGCCGGAATCCTAGCCGACTTCGCCGGAACCCTAGCCGACTTCGCCGGACTCCTGCCACCGTCGCCTGAACCCTAGACGCCGCCATCTCTGCCGCTGCCGCCTCTGCTCGCCGGAATCTGCCGCTGCCGCCTCTGCTCGCTGGAATCTGCCGCTGCCGCCTCTGCTCGCCGAATCTGCCGCTGCCGCCTCTGCTCGCCGGAATCTGCCGCTGCCGCTGCCGTTGCCGCTGCACCGCCGCCGCTGCCACCGCAGACTCAGACGACCGACCCGGTGTTTTCCAGTAGCTGTCAACCGCCCCACGTGCCGCCAGCCGCCACCAGCATCATCCCAACTTCTGTTTCTTGCTTCTTGAAGGTCGCCATCTTCATCCGCTCCATCTCCGATGGCTAAAGATGGAGACAAGTCGTACGATGACAAGTCGTTTGGCAGTGTTCGTATACCTGAATTGATCCCGACGAGTGGTAGAGTTACCGATAATAAACTGAACGGTACTAATTACTTTGAATGGATCAAAACGGTCCGTTTGTATGTCCGAAGTATGGGAATGGCTTCTCATCTAGATTCTGACCCTCCTACTGACGGTAATCGTGACCTTTGGTTACAACAAGATGCTCGTATGTTCTTGCAGATTATTAACTCTATTGAGCCTTCGGTCTCAACTTTGGTYAGTCATTGTGAGTATGTGAAGGAGTTAATAGATTATCTTGACTTCCTGTATTCTGGGCAAAGCAACATTTCACGAATTTACAGTGTCTATAAGGCATTTCATCGTGGGGAACAACAGGATCGTTCTCTTATGACCTATGCCATGGAGTTCAAGAAGGTTTATGAGGAGATGAATTCTCTCCTTCCTTTGAGCACTGATGTGAAAGCTATGCAGACTCAAAGGGAGCAAATTGCTGTCATAAGCTTTCTGAGTGGTCTACGACCAGAATTTGATTCCATC